CCACAGAAAGCCAGAAGGAAGAAAAAGAACAACTGAAGAAGGGGCTACTGAAAACCAGGAGGCTAGCTGGTTACCACAGACATGAAATAGTAACTCTTGAGATGACAATTCTACCCTAATCTGGTCATCTCTTGGAACAACCTGTCTGGAAACTTACCCTACAAGATTTGTTGCAAAGACATTTGGTGACCTGGTTGTTGCTGACATTGACCAAACAAGTTGTCAAAGCCTGTCTACAGTGTGCTTCATACTATACCAATCAGAGACCTAAGACCCACACTGAAACAAGACTGCAGTCCTTACTACCTATTTAAACATCTAGATGTCGTCTTCAGTGACATTCCACCCAGCAGAGTAGACAAATGCTTGCTGGTTGTGGTGTGCACTTTTGAGTTGAGGACTTTCCTACCCACACAGAGGACTGATTAACTTTGAGCTTGGCTTCATGCTACCATTCATTAGTTTGGGTTGAGAGATTCACTGGCACTTTGAGATGACACCGGTTAAACATTATCCATAAACAGACGTCCCTTGGGCAGAAACTCTGCTAATTTTACACTTTATGATGTATTGCATGCCCTGTGTTTGTGGTCCTTCTGCTTTTGAGATTGTGTCTGGCCACACACCTCCACTGTTCTCATGAGAGTATGGACAAACCACCCCCAGCACTTCTTGAAAGCCTTGGTTGCCACTGCACAAATTATTGCCCAACCCTCAGCACTTTCTTACCTCTTGAATTGCAAGTATCAAGCCATGGACACACCACACCCATGCCAAGTTTTCTGTAGACCTGAACTAAGAGTGGACTGTGACAGCTGTTCCAAGGTAGCCTCTAAAACTGGCATTCTTGCAACAACCACAAAATGTGGTCAATGGTTCAGTGACCAATGTGTCTCCTGAAGTCCTCCTGAGCCTGGGTATGTGCACCTTTGCAGTCCACAGTCAGTGTCTCTGTGCATGTCACAAAAATTAGTCAGCAGAACAACCTTGTCCAAGGACATCTCCAATTCCTGGAGTCATCAGCATAACTAATTGCCCCCTCTAATCCTTCTGTCTTATCTCCTACAGGAAATGCTGCTTGGAAATACACCAGCTCTTTGACCTCATCATGCTTTGATAGAAATTCCCACAACAATAAAACAGAATGAGATTCATTTTGCAGATGGCCTCAGCTAGTGACAGTTTATGGACAAGAGGCCAGAGGAGGAAATGACAATTTTTGAGGGAAATGGCTTTACAGTAAAGCATAGTCACTCTTCAGAATCAGATCAATTCTGTGCATGCAATATTCCTCCAAAACCACAGGGGATTTGATGATCGCAAAAAATGGAGGCATGTCCATGGTTTTTAATTAAGAATGCCATTTTTATGCTGATCAGCCAGAAATAATAAAAGAAAGTGCTACAAAGTTATAGAAAAGATTAAGGGTAGAGGTACATCTGAGAGGAAATGAAGAACTATATGGACCTCATGGGGACCCTAGCAAGCTCTGATATTGGGACCTCTTATGATGATAATGCCAGGACCTCAGTTAGGATCTTGTGTCTTAAACAATCTCTCCGGGTTTATCAGAACTGGATTTGTGGATATATATTATTTAAGTCTGGTTTTGTCATGGGATACCTTGTTTTCTCCATCTATGGTGATTGAAAGTTTTGCTGGGTACAGTAGTCCCGGTTGGCATCCATGCTCCCTTAGTGTTTGTAGGACATCTACCCAGGACCTTCTGGCTTTCAGAATTTCCTTTGAGAATTCGGGTGTAATTCAGATAGGTCTGCCTTTATATGTTACTTGGCCTTTTTCCTTTGCTGCTCTTAATATATTCTCTTTATTCTGTAGGTTTGGTGTTTTGATTATTTTATGTTGAGGGGACTTCTTTTGTGGTCCAGTCTATTTGGTGTTCTGTAAGCTTCTTGTACTTTCATAGGCATATCCTTCTATAAGTTGGGGAAGTTTTCTTCTATGATTTTGTTGAATATGTTTTCTGTACCTTTGAGTTGTATTTCTTTACCTTCTTCTACACCTATTATTCCTAGGTTCAGCCTTTCCACGGTGTCCCATATTTCCTGGATATTTTGTGTTAGGGTTTTGTTGGACTTGAGATTTTCTTTGGTCGATGACTGTATAACCTCTAGCAAATCTTCAACAACTGAGATTATCTCTTCCATCTCTTGAATTCTATTGGTTATACTCACATCTTTAGTTCCTGATTGTTTATCCAGCCTTTCCATTTCCAGCATTGCCTCATTCTGTGTTTTCTTTATTGTGTGTATTTCAACTTTCATGATTTGAACAGTTTCAAGAACTTCCTTCACTTGTTTGGATGTTTTTTCTTGGGTTTCTTTAGATTCTTTAAGAGATTTATTTCTTGAATTTTTTGTTTGTCTTTTCCTCCATTTCGTGTAATTTTTTGTTTGCTTTTTCTCCTATTTCTTTAAGGGATTTTCTTGTTTCCTCTTTAATAGTCTCTATCATCTTCCTAAGATAATTTGAAGTCCATTTCTTCTTCATCTTCTGTGTTGGGCTTTTCAGATCTTGCTGGTGTGGAGTCCCTAGATTCTGGTGGGGTCATATTGTTTTCTCTGTTGTGGAGTATGTTCCTACTTTGTCTTCTTCCCATCCTTTCTTCCAGTGGGTGCAGGTGTGGTCTCTCCCTCTCTCTGGTAGCAGGCGGAGGGCTCAGCCTCTGGCGGCAGCTGGATCGCAGAGGGTGGTGGATGGACAAGGTTGGGATGTGTCCGGACTCAGGGTCGGCCTTCCTGGTCTGGGCAGGTACACTTTTGTGGGGGCGGGTCAGGCCGAAGTGAGCAGCGGGGAGTAGTGCATCACCCAGACTCACCTGAGGCTCAGGAGCCTGCCACAGGACAAAGGGCAGAGCGTAGACAGGGTTGAGGTTTCTTCACTGAAACCTATGTTCCTGGGGTCTGGATCAGTCCCATGCTGGTTTCCCAGCTATCAGTCTGGGGAGCAAGAGTTCCCCGATGTTCAGGTGAGTTGTTTCTGCAAGTTTCACCACCCTCGTCTGGACCACTTTGCTCTTCCCTTGTCCTTCTCTGCATTTGGATTCCAGTTCAGTTCAGTGATGAGTTGTGGGTGTCGGCTTCTACTTCCACGAGCTGGTAGAGGAGGGCTATCTGGTGGCATATAAGTCAGTCATCAATCTCATTATCAGGGGAGGGCATTTAAGGGAGCCTCTCCTCTGTTGCTTAGATTGTTAGCTGGTGTCATCTTTGTAGATCTCCAGACATTTCCCTAGTGCCTGATTTCTCTGTAAACCTAAAATGTCTCCCTCTATTATGGTCTCTCCATTCTTGTTATCTTCTATTCTTCCCCTGACTCAACCTTTCTGCTCCCTCATGTCCTCAGCCTCCCTCTTCTCCCCTTCTCATTCTCCTAGCTCCCTCCCCCCCTCTTCCCATGCTCTCAATTTGCTCAGGGGATCTTAATCCTTTCCCCTTCTCCAGGGGACCATGTATGTCTCTCTTAGGGTCCTCCTTAATTTTGGGGAATTGATTTCTACCATAATTCTTTTTGTACTTGTGTCAGTGATTTGAAAAGCACTTGTTTTCCAGCAGATGAGGTCATGGCCAGCGGCTCCATCACCGGGGCTGGTTTCTTATCTGTTTCTCTTACTTAACCTCCCATTATAGGCTCTCAGGAATATCTTATAAATATAAAAAGAAAACCAAAAGATCAAACAGACATTGCCAGGTGATGGGCTTCTCAATATTTTCCTCCAGCAAAAGCTCTGCTCCAGGCTCCAGGAGACCTCATTGTTTAGAAGTTCTTGCCTGAGTCTGTAAGTCTGTGGAACTTGTCACACAGAAGCTGATGAGTTTGCTGCGGCAGAAATGCAGCTTAAAAAAATGGTCATGGTTACTGAGGCAACCCACAGGAGGAAAGGTTCTTAAGAGCAGTCAATAATAGGTAAGCTAGGCAACTGTAACACGTGTGCACAGGGCCCAAGTCAGTCCCACACAAGTTCTCTGGTTGGCAGTTCACTGAAGACACGCTTTTAAAATTAAACCTAGTGACTTCCTTTTCAAATGTGCCCCCCCAAGGTAATTTGTTTTGCTATTTCTTCTGTACATGACATGTTTCAGACCTGAGTTTTCTAATGATCTGTAAGGATGGTATTCCAGGTACTGGTAAATTATCTAGTAGTTTCTTTCTCCCTGTTCTGTGAGCTAACTTGGGCTTAGCTTTATCAAGACCATCAAGCTCCTCAGCCTCCCTCTCACTTACACCTGTTATAAGATTATTCTTGTTTTTGTAATGAATGCCTGAACAGAAACGCAGGACAGGAGGCTGTCAAAGGAAGACTGTATTTGTAAATACACACACACACACACACACACACACACACACACACACACACAAGCTTTTCTAGAAATGATTTCTTCTCATAGGATTGTGGATGGATCATTCTTCACAAACCTAAGTGTACAAGATCAGATAAATGAAACTACTCGATGTGGCTACACCAGCAGGTGCAGTAAGCCTGGCTCTGGTGTGGCTACAGTTGTGCAATTGGTCATGGAACTTAATGATCTGGTGACTTCCAGGAAGGTGTATGAAATGTTGCTAGCCTGACTGTCCAAGCTTGTGGTTTTAGAGCACAAAATGTGAATGCAGACTGGACTTACAACCAATGTCTTTCAGGAGTTATCCTGGCTTCAGTCCACCAGTGACACTCCTCTGTTCCACCATCACTGCTGCTGGAGGGTCTGCTTATTCCCAAAAGATTTCTCAAAACTGCATCAAAACTCTGAAGGGTTTGTCATGTGCAATTCTGTCACTCTGCCAAATCCACCCATCTGACCTCTCACACTTGGGTGAGTTCTGTTCTTCTTGGAACTCTTGAGGACTGCGTATTGCACTTTGCTCGCCATGGGCAGAAGGGCTCTTAGCAGCCTCCTCTGAAGCACATAAGGGCCATTTCCATTCAACATTTGAGAGGAATCTTGGGAATCCTCCCTGAAGCCAACACTTGTGTCAAGATGACAGACAATATCACCTGGTTTCATGGGATTCAGGTTATGCCTGGATCATTTACTGTGGAGTCTTTGTCTTTTGCTCAGAATTTTTTGGTGAAAGATGATGATGTATTCTTAGTGACCTATCCCAGATCAGGTAAGAAATGGGTGTGTATCTTCTTTGGATTCTTTTTTTAATTTATTTATTAGTTCTACTTAGGGAACAAGCTTGTTTCAAGTCCCTTCTCCCTCTCCCTCCCCTCACCCCCATCCCTCC